ATCATGTGGTTTGTATTCTTCATTTTGTTTATGTGGTGTATCACATTTATTGATTTGTGAATATTGTACCAGCCTTGTATCCCTGGGATGAATCCCACTTGATCATGGTGAATAATTTTTTTGATATGTTGCTGGATCCAATTTGCTAGTATTTTGTTCAGGATTTTGGCATCTATGTTCATCAGGGATATTGGCGTGCAGTTTTTTTCTTTGTAATTTCTCTTTCTGGTTTTGGAATTAGAATTATGCTGGCTTAATAAAATGAGTTTGGAAGTCTTTCTTCTTCTTGAATTTTTTGAAATAGTTTTAGAAGAACAACTGTTAGTTCTTTTTTGAATGTTCGGTCAAACTTCCCGTGAAGCCATCTGGGTCTAGGCTTTTGTTTGCTGGTAGTCTCGATTACATCTTCAATTTCTTCTGTTGTTATTGGTCTGTTCATGTTTTCTATCTATTCATTGTCCAGTTTTGGGAGACTATGTGTTTCTAGAAATTTGTCCATTTTACTTAGATTGCTGAATTTGTTGTGATATAATTGTTTATATTAGTTGTTAACAATCATCTGTATTTCTGTGGTATCAGTTGTTACTTCTTCTCTTTCATTTCTGATTTTGCGTAGTTGGGTTCTTTCTCTTTGTTTCTTAGTGAGTCTAGCTAAGTGTCCATCAATCTTGTTTATTTTTTCGAAAAACCAGCTCTTTTTTTCACTGATCCTTTGAATTGTTTTTTTGATCTCTACGTCATTTATTTCTGCTCTGATCTTTACTATTTCCTTTCTTCTACTTGCTCTGGGGTTTTCTTTTTGTTTGCTTTCTAGTTCTTTAAGTTGTGAGGTTAGATAGTCTATTAGAGATTTTTTTCTTGCTTCTTGAGATAGGCCTGTAGTGCTATGATCTTCCCTCTCAGAACTGCTTTCACTGAATCTCATAGATTTTGTATTGTTATGTGTTCATTTTCATTGGATTCCAGGAAGTTTTTAATTTGATCATTGATTTTCTCTGTTACCCATTCGTTGTTTAATAACATGCTATTTAGCCTCCATGTGTTCAAATATCTTTGTGTGTTCTTGTTGCAGTTGATTTCTAGTTTCATGCCATTGTGATCTGAGAAGATGCTTGACATGATTTCAATCTTCTTGAACTTGTAGAAACTTAGTTTGTGTCCTAACATGTGGTCTCTCTTTGAGAATGTCCCATGTGCACTTGAGAAGAATGCGAATTCTGTAGTTTTGGGTGTAATTCTCTGTAGATATCTATTAAATCCATATGGTATAGTGCTTCATTTAGATTCTCTGTTTCCTTGCTAATTTTTTGTCTAGAGGATCTATCTAGTGATGTCAGTGGGGTGTTGAAGTCCCCTGCCATGATTGCTTTGCTCTCGATTTCTCCTTTAAAGTCTTCCAGAAGATTTTAAATATATTTTGATGCTCCTGTATTGGGGGCATATTATGTTTATCAGGGTTATATCATCCTGTTGGATAGTTCCTTTCAATATTATGTAGTGGCCTTCTTTGTCTCTAGTTATGGCCCTCATTTTGAAATCTATTTTATCAGATATGAATATTGGTACCCCAGCTTTTTTTTCCTTTCTTTTTTCTTGGAAGATTTTTTTTTTCTATCTCTTCACTTTCAACCTATGTGAGTCTTTTGTTGTGAGATGGGTCTCTTGTAAACAACATATAGATGGGTCATGCTTTCAAATCCAATCAGCTATTCTGTGTCTTTTTATTGGAGCATTCAATCCATTTACATTTAAGGTGATTACTGATATATACTTATTTATTGACATTTTTGTGTAGTGTGATTATATTTTTCTTCCTATTTCTCCTGTTAATTACAGCGTGGTTTTTGTTTGTTTGTTTGTTTGTTTTTTTAACATTTCTTGCAGTGCCGATTTGGTGCTAATATATACCCTTAACCTTTTTTTTTTTTTTTGTCTGGGAAGATCTTTATTTGACCTTCTATATTGAATGACAACCTTTCTGGGTAGAGTAATCTTGGATTCAGATCCTTGTTTTTCATGATCTTCATTACCTTATGCCACTCCCTTCTGGCCTGTAGTGTTTCTGTTGAGAAGTCAGCTGAGAGCCTTATGGGGGTTCCTTTGTAGGTAACCTGTTGCTTATCTCTTGCTGCTTTTAGGATTCTCTCTTTGTCTTTAATTTTTGGTGGTTTGATTACTATGTGTCTTGGTGTGGGTCTTTTTGTGTTCTTCTTACTCGGGGCTCTCTGTACTTCTTGAACTTGAATGCCTTCTTCTTTCACTAAATTAGGGAAGTTTTCTGTCACTATTTCTTAAAAAATATTCTCCAACACTTGTTCATTTTCTTTTTTGTTGGGGAATCCTATGATGCGAATATTATTATGTTTCCAGTTGTCCCACAGTTGTCTTAAGCTGACTTCCTGTTTTTTAATTGTTTTTTCCTTTTGGTTTTCTGATTAATTTTTTTCTATCCTGTCTTCTAATTCACTGATCCGGTCCTCTGCTTCCTCTACTCTGATCTTTAGACCTTCCAATGTGTTCTTTATTTCTGATGTCATTCTTCATTTCTTCTTGGTGGTTTTTAATTTCCACCTGGTTGATTTTCAACATTTCTCTGTGTTTTCTCATGGTGCTCATGTCCTTACACATGCTGTTGAACTTCCTCGAGGTCATGGCTGTGAATTCTAGTTTTGTTAACTTGCTTAACTGCACCTCATTTATCTCATTTCAGTAGAGGTCTTTTGTTCTTTCATCTGGCATTTGTTTTCTTGTTTCACCACTTTGGCTATCTCAGTGGGCTTTGGAGCCTGTCAAATCTTCCCTGTGGTTGTTGGTGTTCTGCTGTTTGGCACCCTCTACTAGGTTTGGATGAGTGTGGGAGGACCCATGTTAAACACCCACTGTCAAGTCTTATTTTCCTGGGCAGAGTTGCAAGCCCAAGAATGTTTCAGTTGTTCTCTAGCTTTTTGCCTGGATGCTATTAGTCACAGTTACTTGAAGAGCCTTGCCTTCTCAGTTGAATGAAATAATTCCTCAGGTGTTCAGTGTAAGGGGATTTCCCGAGGGTGGGGCAGATGCTGGTTGTTAATGAGCCTCAATTTGCATTTAAATGGCCACCGGGTGGGGTTAAATTTCTAAGGGAGGGGCCACTGCCTTTCCCCAGAGCCCAGTGAAGGAGTAAGATGACCACTGTCCTGCGTGGCCGCAACTCAGCAAAAGCTCTGAGCGCCCTCTAAATCCCGAGTGTTCCCACACAGTTCTTGTCCAGTCCACCCTCCCTCTGCCAGAGCCCCAGGTGAGTGGCTGTGGCTATTTTAGCGTATGTCCTGGCTCTGCACTGTGGTGTCACTTGGGCCCTGCTCACAACTAAGACTGCTGCTGTCCGTGGTCTCCCAGCTCCTCTCTCATGCCTCCACAATGCTACGAGAATTGAGTCAGTGTCCCTGGTTATATGGTCCTCCAAGCTGCTTTTCTGTTGCTTTTTCCTGACGCTATGTCTTTATTTTCATTGTAATTATAGTTTGGTCCTGGGAGATGGTCTGTGTAGCTTCCATTCACTCCACTGCCATTTTTCAATCTCCCCTCTGCCCACTGAGAGTTTGATTTTTAGATTGCTATCTGCATCACTCAGTCAGGACTTATCTTAACTAACTTGGTGATAGTGACAGTCAATGAGAAAGCAGATGAGGAAGTCACATGCAGTGACTGCAAAGAGTTCATTGTACAAACAAGAGAACTGCCTGGCTGATTTAATCTATTTAATTTAATAGAAAATCCTTTTTTCTGAAGTAGCTGTCTTCTGTCTGTCCTAAGCAAGCTCTCCTGGTACTGGTCCTGACACTGAAAAGCTGTAGGAACCCCAGAGATTCACATTATGTCATTATGTGCACATCATTGACCAAGTAAGAGTGGGACTAAATCATGCAGGAAGCGTGGCTTTCCCACATGTATATCTAGGTCCCAGAAACACAAGTTCCAATGAGTGCACACAACGTGGCTGAAAGCAAATATTATGGATGGATAATGCCATGATTACATGAACCCAATCTAACCAACTCAGCCACCAAGAATGCCCAGTGTTTCACATGTCTGTCTTGGGTCTGCACTGCAAATACCTATCAAAACAGATTAAAACCCAGATATCCTGACTCCAAATCTATCTTTAGATGACCAAGGTGACTCACCTGTTACAATTTAGATAATGTTGGGAAACTATATGTAAATTAAATATTACTAAGTAAAATATTTTTTCAATGATTCAAAATTTTCCAGAGCTTCTTTTTAATTAAAAAAGATTGGGTAGTATCGTGGGGAGAGTGGTTAAAAAAAAAAACAAAAAAAAAACAGAACTACAGGATCAGATATTATCAGCAAAGAATTAGCATGGTTTTATGGCTCCCCAAAATTCTTCATATGACCATAATTACTCACCTTTACTAAGGCCAATTTATTCAGTTGAAAATAAATAATCAAATGGACTGTGACTGGAGCAGAAGCTATCACATCAGCTCTACTGCCAGGACCCCAGCATTTCCTGGTTCTTAACCTTCCCTGAGTTTGGTTGTTCAGTTCTTTTTTTGGTTCAAAAAACTGACAAGTGTCATTGTTTGTCCAAAAACAGATTCTCTCTCTCTCTTTTTCTTCTTCTTAAGTAAGGCAGTCAGAGGTGGGTGGTGGTGGTATAAATAAAACAAGGACTTAAAAAATAATCCAGACTACACTCCTCAGCCTTCATTTTATGATGGTAGGCCTCGAAGCTCAGAAAAGTGACATGGCTTATCTATGTGACATAAAAGAGATAGAGTTGATTCTAAAATTGGGGTTTCCACTCATAGACCAGCACTGCATTAGCAAAGGAAAAACAACAACAACAACCCTAAACAACTGAGTATTAGAGGGACACTTGTAATACAAATATTTCCAGAACTCAAGGGAAAAGAAATCCAAATTATCACAAGCACCACTGAAAAATTAACACATCCCCTGAAGTCAAAAGATCAATGATTTGCCCCATGACATACCTTTAAAACGTAAAGTGGACGTTTCTCATATGAGGACCCAATATGGATTTTTTCAATCATATTAGGATACCGCTCAGTTATAACATCTATCCAGGAATAGATCTATCAAAATGGATATAAGCAGTCAGTCATGAGCAAGTTCAAAGCATTTCCCTGACCAAAGGAAGCAGACAACTTCTCCAGGTGAAGGAGAGGCTTCAGAGACCTCTGTATGTAGAAAGAATGAGGAACTAAATTATTTGGGGCAGGTGTTTCTTCTGCTGTTTAGGAAAAATCAATAAAATTACTGTTTTGAAAATTATAAAGCTTTAGAGAAGAGTAGAAAAGTACTAGGAAACTTTTGACAAAGTAGGAAAAGTTCATCTTTAAACTTCATCCTAAGAGTTACTTTTAAAGGTTTATTACATTGAACCTGCCTTTGTGTATGAAATCCTCTTTACCATTCATTCATTAGTTCACTTTTATATGGAACTTGAAGGAAGCCCTGGGCACTGTCTTTGCACAGGTAAATGACAGTGTCATTATTTCTCACTGGAGACCTGTGTATTTACAACAAGATCTGTGAAATAATGGGAGGCAAAGGTGTAAACAATCTAAAGAAAAAAAATTCTCTTCTACCCTGAGAAAGAGTTTGATTCTGGACCTGTCTCCTAGATTGACATTTAGTGATATTTGAGATTCTGCCAAGATTGTAATGGAAAGACAAATACAAAATTCCAGGCCTGACTTTATAGGCTAGTGTCCACTTCAAAGCAGGTATTGAGAGAGGGAACATGATCATGTTTGAATACAGACCAGCTTCTCAGGGTCCATAATTAAACTTTTATACCTTCTGAAATGGGAATAGCCCACTTTATTTCTGGAAAAATTTCTAAAGGTAATTTCAAATATCCATCCTAGATGATAGGAACTTGAGCACCATTTACCCTTTAATCCTCTTAGATAACTAGGGTGAGTGGTATCTGTGAGTGGTTGTCCTGTGCTGGGAATTAAGATAGTCCTGGGAGGCCTACCTGCTGCCAAATACCAATGCTATCAATGTCTGAGGTGCTAAAGATTTAGCCATTGGGGATTTCCTCAGTGGGCCTCTGTTTACTGAGTACTTCTAAGGAAAGACTATGTCTGAGAGCACAACTACATACAACTATTTTGTGTGTTCCAGTGATGGTTAAGTAGGGTTCCTCCAACATGGGAGGCTGTGTTGTATGAAGGAAGCTTTATAGAAGACTTTATTTCATAGTCTAATTTGAGATAATGAAGATAACATCCTTTGAATAACTCTCTTTTTTGCCATTTATTTTAAAAAGTATTTTTGGGGCCTTTTTCCTCCCTTCCCTACAATAGATTATTTAAGATTTCCTAGTGTGAGTCAATAACAAAAGAATACCTCCTGCCCACCTTGTGCTGAGGACTGAAAGAGAGATCAGTCAGTACTGAAGGGGAAAGAGGAGTTGGAGGAATTTTCTGAGAGCAAGAATACTATGGTTCCTATGAGCCTCCTAGAAAGGATTGGGAGTGGGAGGGAGGAGAGGTCCAAGACATTTTTTGGAATGTCATGGTTATTAATTAAATTGTTTCCCTCCAAATTCATATGTTGAAGCTCATAACTTTTAGCAACTTAGAATGTGACTATATTTGGAGATAGGACCTTCAAAGAGGTAATTAAGTTAAAATGAGGCTGTTAGTGTGGGTCCTAATCCAGCCTAGCTGGAGTCCTTATAAGAAGTAAAAATTGAGACACATAGGGGCACCAGGGATGTGTACACACAGAGAAAAGGCCATGGAAGGAAATAATGAGAAGGCAGCCATCTGCAAGTCAAGGACAGATGCCTCAGGAGAAACTAACCTTACTGATACCTTCATTGTTGACTTCTAGCCTCCAGACCTGGGAGAAAATAAAGTTCTGTTGCCTAAGCTGTCCATTCTGTGGGATTTTGTTATGGTAGACTAATACAGTGGACTGTTAATTTTTGTGTGTGGTAGTTTCAATAAAAAGGCCCTAATTTTTATTTCCTGTTGTTCTGAGCATGCAGTATTACTCCTGGCAGTTAGAGATACTCATAGCTGTGGACAAAAAACCTGCTTACAGGCAGTTTACCAAATATGACACAATCTTCCCAGGGAAGATAATCTTCAAAAGGATTAATTACCATCATATAATCAACCTAATTATATTTTTTACTCTCTTCCACCATTTATGATATTTTAATAATTTTTCATCATTGAAGGGCCAATGCAGGTTAAATGAAAATGGTAATTTTGGAGAGAAATTTGATGGCTTACTTCATTTAGTGAGTGATAATTTTCATAGTATGAGGAGGAAGCCCGGGGGTGGATGGTGTCATTGGAAGTCTGCTCGCGAATAAGATCTTCCACGTCTTCCATCAGGACACTAGGTGACAAAACAGAGGATGAGCTTGTTTTCAAAAAGGGCTCTGACTTTCCACATGGCCCATTGTAGCCACAACAGGTGAGTATAGGGGAAAATCACTAAGGAATCTAAAAAGTGAAAACAATCACCTAACATTTTGCTGAGCTGTAATTCACAAACCATCTTGGTAGACCCCCACATGGACACTGGAGAGAAAGTGACTTCTATATGGTCTGTTTTCAGGACCTCCAAAATCTCACCCTTTCCCCACTATTATCAACATTTCTTGATTGTGCTTCATCTATGTCTTTTATGTGAACATATAGGTTAGTGGACAACTTTCTTCAATCCAGAGTAATATTGTATCATTCTATTTGCAGTTAAAAACCAAAGAGAGAAGATGGTGGCAGGCAGGACAGGAAGGAGGGTAAGTGTGTGAAAGAGTGAGCTAGTGTGTGAGAGAGTGTGAGTGGATGTGAAGGTGGATGACTAAACTCGAGCAGTGCAGAGATATGGAGCAGAAGGTTCTGGTGCTGTGGACGGAGCAGCTGACCACTGCAGGCTCTTCAGGGCACGTCTCCCTGTGCTGCAGGTGTGTCCCAACATTTTGGAAGATGCTGGGTCTTCCCTGGAAGGAGGCAGTGGGAGCGGCTAGGGCCCATCAACCTGAGCCCACCAGTGCACCTGGCACCATTGGACCAGTGGACACCATGTGTCAACACAGGCCAGTGCACAGTAGTGGAGGTGCCAGTTTCAGAAGCTTTAGATGGCCGGGAGCCCAGCACCATCCCTCACAGCAGCAGCCCGATCAGAGTCAAGACTCACCGCCAGCAACAGAGGCTGGGGAGCTGACATCCATCCCCAGGCAACAGAAGAACAGACCAGCAGCTGAGACCCATTCCCAAAAACTAAAGCAAAGGCTGAGCAGGAGTTGAACCCCATGGGGCAGCAGCACTCCCCAGAAGCCAGTGGCGGGACCTGGGGCTCCACAAAGGGCTGTGCTACCCAGCTGCCCACAAGAGTGGGTGGAAGCCGGAACTCGAGAGGGACCAGGGCAATCCAGCTGCCTGCGGGACCTGCTGGGTGCTGGGACACCAGAGAGGCCTCTGCAACCCAGTAGCCCACAAGACAGGTATGGAGCTGGGTCTCCAGAAGGACTGTGCGATCCATCTGCCCATGGTACGGGCAAGGATCATGGCTCCAATAGGGCCTGAGCTACACAGCTACAGGTGGCACCAGTGACCAACTGGGAACACAGCTCCAGAGGATCCCACATGATCCAGCAGCAGCACCTACCAGGACACACCAATAACAGCCCCCAGTAGTCAATCCTCCAGGATCCACAGCAGGCAAGAGGTGACATGCAACAAAACAGTCTGGGAGGCACAGTAGCCTTATTTGATAAACAGTAAGCTGCATACACATGCAAACATCCCTCAGTGGGTCTAGAGCTACCAGACAGCTAAAATGGGGAGACAAAGAAACAACACCCAAAGGAAAGAAAAAGAGGAATCACCAGAAAAGCAACTACATGAAATGGAAGACAGCAACTTGTCAGATAAAGAATTCAAAGCAATGATTTTAAGGGTACTCAAACAATTTGGTGAGAACTACAAGCAACTTAATAAGAAGTATGAAGAGCTCACTGGGAACTACTTCAGCTTAAAAAAAAGAGGTAGAAGCTATGCATAAAAATCAAGAGGAAATAAAAACTGACATAACGGTTATGCAAAATACCTTAGAAGGGTTCAATAGTAGATTAGAAGAAGCTGAAGACCGAATCAGTGACTTAGAAGACAAGGTAGAGAAAAACACCCAAATAGAGCAGCAAATGAAAAAATAAATTTAAAAGCAGGAGGAAAGTTTAAGGGAGCTGTGGGACAATAAAAAACGTAACATTCACATTATAGGGATACTGGAAGGAGAAGAATCAGAGAAAGGAATAGAGAACCTGTTTGAAGAAATAATGACAGAAAACTTCCCAAAACTGCTGAAGGGAAAGGTCACACATGTCCAGGAATCACAGAGAGTCCCAAGAAAACTCACAGCTAGACACATCATAACAAAAATGGCAAACATTAAAGACAAAGAAAGAATCTTAAAGGAAGCAAGAGAGAAACAGTAAGTTACCTACAAGAGAGCTCCCACTAGACTGTCAGCTGATTTCTCAATAGAAATGATGCAGGCCAGAAGAGAGTGGCATGAAGTGTACAAAATAATGCAAGGTAAGGGTGTGAATCCCAGACTACTCTATCCAGCAAGGCTATCATTCAAAATTGAAGGAGAAATAAAGAGCTTCATGGATTAAAAAAAAAAAAGCTAAAGGAATTTACTACCACCAAGCCAGCACTGCAAGAAATTCTGAAGGAACTGTTGTAAGACGAAGAAAAACAGAGAGAAAGAGAGAGACAGGTGCACAGGCATAAAATTAAAATGGTAACTAATAACTGTCTATCAATAATTACCTTAAATGTAAATCATTAAAATGTCCATACTACCCGAAGCAATCTATAGATTCAACGCAAACCCCATCAAAATAACAATGATATTTTTTACAGAAATAGAACAAACACTCCAAAAGTTTATATGGAATAAAAAAAAAAACCCTGAATAGCCATAGCAATCTTGAAAAAGAAGGACAAAATAGGAAGGATTGTGATACTGGATTTTAGGTTATACCACAAAGCCCCTGTAATCAAAACAGCCTGGTACTGGCACAAGAACAGGCAGATAGATCAATGGAACAGAATAGAGAACCCAGCAATAGACCCAAGACAATATGCTCAATTAATATTTGACAAAGATGGCAGGAGCATACAATGGAGTAAAGGCAGCCTCTTTAATAAATGGTGTTGGGAAAACTGGACAGCTTCATGCAAAAATTTGAAGCTGGACCAGCAACTTATACCATAAACGAGAATAAATTCAAAATAGATAAAAGACTTAAATGTAACTCGTGAATCCATTAAAATTCTAGAAGAAACTGTAGGCAACAAAATTTCAGACACCATACACTGCAAAATTTTCACTGATACATCACCTAGGGCAACAGAAACAAAGGAGAAAATGAACACATGGGACTACATCAAACTCAAAAGCTTCTGCACAGCAAAAGAAAAAACCATCAAAATGAAAAGAGATTCCACTATAAGGGGGACTATAATCACAAATGATGCATCAGATAAGGGGTTAATTTTTAAAATATAGAGAGTACTCATACAACTCAACAAAAAGAAGACAAAGGACCCCATTAAAAAATGGTCAGAAGACCTAAATAGACACCTCTCCAAACAGGACATAGAAATGGTCAAGAGACATATGAAGAAATGCTCAACATCACTAATCATCAGAGAGATGCAAATTAAAACAACAATGAGGTATCACCTCACACCTGTCAGAATGGCCACCATCAATAAATCATCAAACAACAAGTGTTGGCGAAGTTGTGGAGAAAAGGGTACTCAAGTACACTGGTGGTGGGAATGCAGACTGGTGCAGCCACTGTGTATAACACTATGGTATTACCTCAAGAAGTTAAAAATTGAACTGCCATTTGACCCAGTGATCCCACTTCTAGGAATATACTCCATGAAACCTGAAACATCAATCAGAAAGAATATATGTACCCATATGTTCATAGAAGTACTATTTACAATAGCTAAGATGGAAAAACAGCCCAAGTGTCCATTAGTAGATGAGTGGATAAAAAAGCTGTGGTACATATACACAATGGAATACTATGTAACAGTAAGAAAGAAAGAGCTCTTATCCTTTGAGACGACATGGAGGGATCTGAAGAGTATTATGCTAAGCAAAACAAGCCAAGCAGAGAAAGACAAGTATCACTTATTTGTGGAATATAATGAACTAAAGAAACTGATGAACAAAATTGACCCAGAGACATAGAAGTAGGTCTGACAAGACTGACAAGCCTCATAGGAGGGGGTTTGGGAGGGAAGAGATAAACCACAGAACTTATATGCATGTATGCATGACCAATGGACATTGACAACAAAGTTGAAGATGGGGTGGGGGGGGAGGGTGTCAATGGGGGAAAAAGGAGAAACATCTGTAACAAAAACATATTAAATAATAAAAAAAACCCAAGGAGAAGAAAAAGTGTTTTCTTTTTGCTTTTCATTTTGGCAACAATTGACCTATACCAGATGTTCTGCATAGCCAAAGATGATCAAATATCTAAAGCAATAGAAGCACAGGAACAGGGAAGGTACAAGAAAGTCATCTTATTTAATGTCTCTTGAGAAATGCCACACTGTTAACATGGCAAACATTTTAACGGAATTAAGCCAATTCATTACTTGAGATAAACAAGTAGAAAGTTAGCTATTATTTAATACGGTTTCTTTACTTTCACTGAGGCCAGTAGATAAAAGCCAAGCCTGTGACACCAGAAAGGTCTGAGTTCAACTCTTAGCTCTTCCATGTTCTAGCTGATTGACCTTGAGAAATTCATTTGTAAGTTTGAAAAACTTTTTCATCTGCATAATGAGGAGAGTATTTACATCACAGGGTTATAAGGATGAAATGATACAATGTATAAAAGGCCCAGCACAGTTCCTAAAAGGCAGTAAACATCTATAACTTATCTCCAAAGGTTGCCCACTAATGCATAGAACAGAACATGGTCTTCAGGAAATGCAAGAGCTACAGGAGGGCACTGGCGTTTGAACAATGGATGCAGAGAGTAGATCTTGGATAGGAGACTCCAAAAGGAAGAGGTGAACTCTGAGCAGAAATTGCATTTGTTACACTTTAGTCTAGAGCCAGACATTCAGGACTGTCCCATGACCTAGTGAAGGAAGCAAAATCCTTTTTACTGGCTACTTTTTTGAGAGATACCACAAAGTATACTATAGTGAATGACAATTTTTCTCCCCAAGTCTTGGTATAGAGTAGAAGAATTAGGAGAAACTATAAGAAGGAAGGAATTAGGAGGAACTGTCTGAAACTGCTCAGATCATTGAGTCTAAAAATCATTTTGAGATAAGGCAGCGAGGTCATGAGAGGTTAAACCACTTGTTCAAGGTCATAGAGCCAGCCACTTGGGCTTTATCACTAGTCAATTTAGGAGATTTAATGTAAGTATTTATTTTTCCAAGAAGCAATTGTACCATTTGCTAGTCAAATGCATCATAGGTGCTTATAATAGCTATTCAATAAATATGGAGTGATACCTACCTGAATGGAATTTTGCTTTCCTGTAAATGGGATTTCACTTTGATTATATCAGCTGCATTCACCAAAAAATGAACTTCTTTTTCTTCTGCAATAAATTCACCTGTTACTGGCTTCCAGAGAACAATCTGCATTTTAATGGAAAAATTGATAAAACAAAAATGGTCGTTCATATCATTCTCATCTGCAGCTAAAGTCATAAAAAATTGTGTCTATAAGGGAAATTAAAAGATAGTTCCTGGACACTGGTCTTTATTGATACACATGGCACAATAAATATTTTTTTTTGCAGGGAGCTTGTTTTATTCTCTGTAACTTCAGTTGCTAAAGAAGGCCTAGAACATAGGTACTCAATAAATATTTGATGAGACAGTGAATGAATATATTTGTGGCCCAACTGTATAAAACTGAATGTGTATGTCAAATGTTTAGAAGAGAAATAAAATTTTGTCCAGAAAGTTGATTAAATGGTGATTTTCTTTAATAAAAATTTTATATTCTTGATGTTATCTTTAATCTAATTTTGGACTTTGGGCAATGCCTTCCAAAATTATTTATATTTTTTTCCTATTTCACTGCACTTTTCCAAAGTACTTTTTACATTCAGTCTCTTTGATCATTATAGTAACAGTTTGCTATAGACCCAGAAAGTGTCATTATTTTCACTGTCCAGATAAAGAAATTAAGGCTTATAGCTAACTTGTCTAAAATCACACACTTAGGAATGGCAGACCAAGAACTAAATTCTAGACTTCTGATGGTTTTTTTGGTGGTATTTCTTCTGTCCACAATGTGTTGCCTGTGAACATTTACCACTCAACTTTTCTTTAGGGAGAAGCATAGTTGACTGACTTTCCCAGCTGTTCCTGCTCTTGATCTACCAGAGGCTGAGGTCATGGTCTCCAGGGTTGCAGCCAGCTAGGCATCCAGCACTGTGGGCGTATTAATGCAGGTCCATTAGTGCTAGATTAGAGTTTCTTCTTACATGTGATTTTGGCTTAAGGACTCACCACCGGCCCAGCCAAAACTTCATAGGAACTGCCCTTCAGTCTAGAGATTCTTCATGCACAATCTTCCTTTCTGTACAGGTGTCAGAGCTGCTTTATGGTCTGAGGGTCTCCCAGCCATCTCCAGCTCCCTCCTCTTCATTCTTTCACAAGCATTCCCCCTAGTAAATATCTCGAATCTTTAATCTGGTCTAACTAACAAACATGGAGCCATCAATTTTCTACCATGATATTTTGTAACTTTTATCAGTTTTCCATACCATAGGCATTTTGGAGAGATGGGTCGCAGGCATTAAAAGTTTAGTAAAATTTCCTTTGTCTTTTTGATGTTTACTTCTTGGTTAAAAACCATAGTTTTATAAGAAAAGTCCTACTGGACTTCTGTTATCGTAGCATCTTTGTAAGTACACACATTCAATCCCAAGGTACCATTTTGCAGTTGGCTAAAAAGCGAATAGCGCAAATGAAGAATATTTGATTTTGGGAACCAGCAAGTCATGTGATTATGCGAAGGGGAAGAAGGATATAATAAGAGGGGTTTAATCCAGCTACATATAAGTTAAACAACATATAGGAGAGAGTATAGCACGCAATACTTCCACAATAAGAAAATAATATACAAATAAATGAGGGAAAAATTACCTCATAAGTTGTAGTAAGATTCTGCAGAATTTGAACTTGCCTAGAGGTTCTGGGAACAGTAGATAAAACCTGGCCACTGGGGAAAAATAAAACAGGATTTTGATGTTAAGTAAAAAAAGTAAAAATGAGATGAATTGTACTGTGAGAAGATTTGAGATAATTATAAAAAGGAAACAAACTTAAAATGTTTAAAGGAAAAAGGGTCTTGCTACAGATTGAGTGTGGTGTCTAAAAGAGAACATATATTCACTCATTTTTCTGCTTGTAAACAGCTGCAAAATCAACAGCTCTTTTAAGTGGGAGTCAGTCTGCAGAGTGCTTAATTTTTTCTTATTGTGTGTGTGTATGTTGATTTTAAAATTACATATTTAGTGCATAGGGAATATTTATGCTAACACTAGCTTAATACATAAGAAAAATAGTGCCTGTGAAGCCATTACCCAACTTAAGAAATCCAAACTGGTGTACTTGAAGTTTTCTACCCCTGCTCCCCTACCACATCCCCAACAGTATCCACTACCCTAAAATTTTACTTTGCTCAATACCTGTTTTTCTTTATAGAATGGATTCTTAAACACATGTATGTATTCTTGTATGTGTGGATTCTCAAAATACCCTTAGATTTGCTTGATTTAACTCTATAAAATGGTATACAATATACTTTCTTCTGTATCTTGTTTTTTTTTTTTCAGTCAGTATTGTATTTTCAAGATTACCATTTGTGTTGAAGTATCTAGTTATAGTTCATATTTACAAGAATTTGTCTATAAGTGGAATTGCTATTTCTTCAGGGTAAGCCAAATTTTAATTTCATAAGACAGTGTTAAATTATTTCTCAAACATTTTGCATCCATTTGCATTCTCACAGCAGTGGAAAAGATATCGCTCCTCCTTCTTGCTAACACTGATGCTGTCTGACTTTAACTTTTCCAGCCTAATGGATGTGAAATGGAATGTTCTTGTGATTTTAATTTTTAATTAATTAATTAATTTTTGTTACAGATGTTTCTCCTTTTCCCTCCATTGATACCCTCCTCCCCACTCCCGTCCCCACCTTTCACAGAATTGTTGTCTATGTCCAGTTATTATGCTTATATGCCCATAAATTCTTTGGATTATCTCTTCCCGCCCTCTCCACCCTCCTCCTCTAAGGTTTGTCAGTTTGATCCCTACTTCCATGTCTCAGGGTCTATTTTGTTCATCCGCTTATTTTGTTCATTATAGTCCACAAATAAGTGTGATCACGTGATACTTGTCTTTCCTTGATTGTCTTATTTAACTTTCTATACTAATGAAACATAGTTATTTTCAGTAGATTATTTTTGTGGTAATTGGCTAGTATAATTTCTTCCTATAATCTAGGTACTAAACCCTTTTCAGCTATGTGTATTGAAAACATCTTCTGCTAGTTTGTCTTTTTTTCTCTTTTTGATGTATTTTTATCCATCATTTTCTTATGGATTTGTTTTTTTGTGTGCGTTAAAAACTCTTTCCCGATACCTGGGTCATATTCTCTATATTTATTTTGTCTTTCTCATTTAAATTTTAAATCCATTTGAAAGTTATTTGTTTGAGTGCAATGTATAGAAGGAATTCAGTTCTTTTTTTACTCTTAGCATCATTTATTGTTAATATTTTCCCCAGGGATCAGCCATGTCAATTTTGCCTTACATAAGTTTACATACTTTTTACAGAGACAATGCTGGTTCATGAAACCATTCCTTCTTCCTGGGCAAACACAAAAAACTGCATTTCCTAGCCTCTCATGTGGTTCCATAGAAACCATGTCCCTGAGTTCTCGACAGTGGCAATGTATGTGGGAGTGGTATGTCTCAATTAAGAGCAGGTGGGCGTCTTCAGTGCTTATGTTCCCTCTCATCTTGTGGCTAGAAGCAAAAAATCCCAAGATACGGAGTTGCCAAATGGAAGCAACCCAGATCTCCAGGTTGTAGGAGAGCACCAGGGAGAGCCTTGTGACCTTCAACAAGTGGTGATATAAATGAGAAATAAACCTTTGTTGTGGCAAATAAAATTCTTTCAGGGTGAACTAGTTATTATAGCATAATCAAGGATTACCCTCACTGATACAGTGTGGTCTCTTTCTTGGCTTTTTATTATGTTCAATTGTTTTACTTGTCTATCCTTGTGCCAATACCACTCATCTTTGAGACTAAAGCCTCGTATTAAATCTAAACATCCTATAAGATGCTCCAGCTTCTCCTCTTTCCTGCCTAGTTCTTTTTAAGATTCTCTAGGTTTAATCCTTTGTGTTTCCCCATACATTTTAAAAATCAGCTTGTCATGTTTCATGAAAATTTTGGATTTTGATTAGAATTTTATTAAATTATATATAAATCAACAACTTAGGTAAGACTGACATCCTAATGATCCTGAGCCTGTTTATCAGTAAATACAGTAGATTTGTCTGCAGATTTAGGCCTTCTTTAATAGCCGTCAAAAAAGTTTTATAATTTTATCCATAAAGATATTGCACATTTTTTATTACATTTATTCTAGCATATTTTTTTCTTTTGTAAATGGTAACTTTTAATAGCCAATTCTTTATTAGAGATTTTTCTTGTTTCTTGAGGTAGGCCTGTAAGGCTATGAGCTTCCCTCTCAGGACTGCTTTCACTGTGTTGCATTGATTTTGGGTTGTGTGTTCACTTTCATTTATTTCTAGGAAGATTTCTATTTCTTTCTTGAGCTCCTTGGTAACCCATTCATTGTTTAATAACATGCTATTTAGCCTCCATGTGTTTGAATGTTTTTGAGTATTTTTATCGTAATTGATTTCTCTTTTCATGCCATTGTGATCTGAGAAGATGTTTGATATGATTTCATTCTTAAACTTATACTTATTTTGTGTTCTAACATGTAGTCTATCTTTGAGAATGTTCTATGTGCACTTCAAAAGAGTGTATATCCTGTAGCTTTGGGATGAAGTATTCTGTAAATGTCAATTAAATCTATATGATCTAGTATGTCATTTAAGGACACTGTTTCCTTGATGTGTTTTTGTCTGGAAGATCTATCCAGTGATGTCAGTGGGGTGTTCAAGTCCCCTACTCTGACTGTGTGGCTGTCTATCTCTCCCTTAAAATCCTCCAAGAGTTTTTTTATGTATTTAGGTGCTCCTATAATCAGGTACGTACATGTTTACCAGGGTTATATCCTCTTGTTGTATAGATTTCTTTAGTGTTATGTAGTGGTTTTCTTTGTTTCTTGTTATAGCCTTTGCTTTGCCATCTATTTTGTCAGACATAAGTATTGCTACCTCTGCTTTTTTTCATTTTCATTTGCATGGAAAATTTTTTTCCATCCCTTCAGTTTCATCCTGCGTGAGTCTTTTGTTCTAAGGTAGTCTCTTATAGACAGCATATATATGGGTCACTTTTAAGAATGTATCCCAAGAATCCCAAAACACTAATCAGAAAGAATATATGCACCCCTATTTACAGTGCTATTTACAATAGCTAAGATCTGGAAACAGCCCAAGTGCCCATTAGTAGATGAATGGATAAAAAAGCTGTGGTACATTTACACAGCGGAATACTATGCAGCTATAAAAAGAAGGATCTCTTACCCTTTGAGGCAGCATGGTGGGATCTGGAGAGTATTATGCTAAGCAAAATAGGCCAGTCAAAGAAAGACAAATATCACATGATTTCACTTACATGTGGAATCTAATTAACAAAATAAACTGATGAACCAGAAGCATGAAAACATAGAACACATTGACAAATCTCAGAGGAAAGGGGGTAGTGGGGCAGGAAGAGATCAACCAAAGAACTTATATTCATATATGCTTTGCCCATGGATGTAGACAATAGGGCACTGAAGGCCTGGGTGGGGCAAAAACCAGGTGGAGGGGGGCAATGGGGAATATCTGCAATACTCCCAAGAATAAAGATTAAAAAAACAAAAACAGTCCATTCTTCCTGAAGTGTAAGAGTGATATTGATTTTCTATCCAGCTCCATTGGCAATTTTGATTATTTTAATGAAGATATCTTCGGGTTTCTTCCTTTGCAAGCAATCGTTACAAATGCACATGCTAAGTTTTGCTTCTTTCAATTCTTTTTTTTTTTAATTAATTAATTTTTGTTATAGATGTTTCTCCTTTTTCCCCCGACAGACACCCTCCTCCCTATTCCATACCCTTGCCCCCACAAGCATTGTTGTCTACGTCCATTGGTTACGTATACATGCAAATAAGTTCTGTGGTATAACTCTTCCTTGCTCCCATGACCCTCTTGTGAGGTTTGCCAGTCTCTAGACACATCCATGTCTCTGGGTCCATTCTATTTATCATTTTGTTCATTATACTCTACAAATAAGTGAGATCATGTGATATTTGTTTTTCTCTGATTGGTTTAATTCACTTAGCATAATACTCTCCAGGTCCTTCTATGTCATCTCAAAGGATATAAGATCTTTCTTTCTTACAGATGCATAGTGTTCCATTGTGTATATGTACCATGGCTTTTTTATTTATTCATCTATTGATGGACACTTGGGCTGCTTTCAGATCTTAGCTATTGTAAATAGTACTGCTATGAACATAGGGGTACATATATTCTTTCTGATTGGTGTTTCAGGCTTCTTACAATATATTCCTAGGAGTGGGATCACTGGGTCAAATGGCAGTTCAATTTCTAATTTTTTGAGGAAACACCATATTGTTTTCCATAGTGTCTGCTCCAGTCTGCATTCCCACCAGTAGTGTACTAGAGTCCCCTTTTCTCCACACTCTTGCCAACACTTGTTTGATGATTTGTTGATAGTAGCCATTCTGACAGGTGTGAGGTGACACCTCATTGTTGTTTTAATTTGCATCTCTCTGATGATTAATAGAATTGAGGATTTTTTCATATGTCTCTTGGCCATTTCTATGTCCTGTTTGGAGAGGTGTCTATTTAGTTCCTCTGCCCAATTTTTAACTGGGTTCTTTGTCTTCCTTTTGTTGAGTTGTATGAACACTCTATATATGTGGGAAAATGACCCCTTATCTGATGTATCATTGGCAATTATGCTCTCCCATATAGTGGGTTCCCTTTCCATTTTGATGGTTGTT